GACTGATAGCTCAAACTTTTGGGCGTGAAAAACTTCCCTGCAAGCGTTAAAACACGTTAACCGCCAGTTTCGACTATGATCCAATTTGTGTTCATTCGAACTATATATTAGCGCACCGGCCTTGAAGGTCCCAATCAGTCCATCTTCTGAAGACAGGATACCCTCATTGTATCATCAAAACCTTGCAGAAAGTCCTGAAGTAAGTGTTTCGCTGAGCTTACTAAAACATTTGTCACTTGAGGTTCTCAAAGGGGTGATGACAGTTACCATTGACGGTTAAAATTTGGCCATTAAACGGCCAACAGTTGATTTAATTTCTTCCTGGGATCATTCAAGGGAGGGGTTCCTCCGCCAATGGTGAATTTAGCCCTGATAATAATGATGATGATGATGTTGTAATTAAAAGAAACATCTTTTTTGGGTTAATTTTTTTTAACGACTAAGAGATAAAATTTGTCAATTTTATGCCTGTTTGTTAAATTTTCTGTCGTTCTACGGCAAACGGTCAACCCCAACGGATACCCTCTTACTTCAAGCCAAACAATGAAGGTAAATAATAGACTTGATTTGTCCCGGGTGAGGAACAAACAAATCTCACCCTCCAGATCTACTTCGAAAATAGTTCAAAATTTCTGAGACGTTTCGAATTTATTCCTAGGGCGTCTTGATGAGTTGGCAGAAACTTGACTTTACTTTTCTCTCTTCTCTTATTTTCGTCTCTTATGCGATTCATTGCAAGAACATTGCCACTCTAGTATTAATTCAGAATTTTTTCGTTACGACTGATAGCTCAAACCTTTGGGCGTGAAAAACTTCTCTACAAGCGTTAAAACACGTTAACAGCCAGTTTGGACTTTGATCCAATTTCTGATTATTCGAACTATATGTTAGCACACTTGCTTTAAAGGTCCCAATGGGGACGTAGTCAATTATCTTAATGTAACCAGTCGTGAAAATATGAATTAAAATTGAAAAATTACATTCTTAGGCTAACTGCATTCTAAACAACTGGAGGTAATCCCGAGAGGGTCTCCATCATGCAAGTTACCCGTAAAAGTTCCCTTTTCTCACCTTATACATATAATACTGTGACCCAGAACCTTCAATCTCTTTGAGTAGCTTCTCGGGGTAGAGATTTTCCGCAAGATACTTCATGTGACTTAGCGTATTTGACGTCATGCATGGATGAGGCTTCCTGGGATCTTTCAGAGGAAACGCTTCCCAGTTGCTTATCTCTTGTGATGTGGGGATTGGGGCGAAAACGATATCGGTGCTCTTTTTCTGCATTTCCAGGAACTGTCGGATGAATTCCGTGGTCTGGTCGCGTTTCTTGTCAAAAATTAAGCTGACAACTTTCGCTTCAACTGCTTGTTTGAGAGTTGGGAACTTCGAGAAGGTTTGTTCGATGGCCTTTTGGACGATATCTCGTAGAGTTGTCTCAACATTTCTGACAAGTTTCTCTGATAGGGGTAGTAACTGATCAACTGGACTCGAAAGCGTGACAGGTTTACCATTGGCGTTAAATCCTTTCATATGTGAAAAAAAAAAAGCAGATAGTCACGGCTTGGGAAAAGTGACTAACTGGATCACTACACTTAAAACAGTCTGACTGACCAAAAATGTCTCACTATACTGAAGCCTTTCCTTTATGGCACCTCTTTTCAGGGGAAACGATTTGACTCACGAGAGTGTTCGACTGTATAAGCTTTAAGCCTGTCACCTTCCTTCAAGG